ATTTCATCTTCATTTAAAAGTTTCAAGCGCATAAATTAATATAATGAGGAGCTTTTGTATTGTTCCTCACCTTGTTGCAGGATCTTGGCCAGGTTTCTGCTCTGGCTGGTGCAGTTCCAGCGACGGCTGTGGAACTGATGTTGGCATTCTCGCATGCCCAACCAAGCACCATTTGCCACTTCTTGAACTATCTCAGGCTGAGACTGGCACACGTCGGCATGTCTGCCTACCAACGTTTTAGTTCTACGGCAGATACTATTGGGATCCATCACTAAAGGGTTGCCATCCACCCTGGTGCAAAAGAAATAGGTTCATACCACTAGATACAGACACACAAAACCACACAAAAGAGGCATTTTCAGAGATCTACTCTCTCATAGTACCTGAGTGCCTTCTCCAAATAATAAACTTAGAGAAATGGAAAAAAGTTTATTATTATTATTATTATTATTTTATTTTTCTATTTTTTTTTAAACCCATTTCAACAAAGAGGATAAATTTACAACAAAAAAAACTGTAGATACTCTGTCCTTTTCCTCACTTCCCTCCTTCTTTCATCCTTTAAGTTTCGACCCTCCCTCTTAAAGTTATTTGCCATTAACAAACCAGTTTTTCACATCTTTCATTGCATCTTGTTATTTAAAAAGGCTTGTTGAACCTGAATGCAAACTCAAAGTCATAAATTCCTGCGTTTGTGGCTGCAATCACCTTCATCTAACTGCCTTAGTTTTCATATAACCTTATTTGTGCAGCTCAATAACAGGAATATTAACAGGCAGGAATAAGCCGCTTACCTTCGTTGCAGAGGTGTGAGGGTCGTATTGAGGATAATAAGTAACAAGAGGACGTGTTTTTGCATTGAGAGCATCATCCGGGGATTTACATCCACAAACGGGTTAAATCTACCTGAAACTGTCCCACCGATGTGTCCGAGTTTTGTCGGTGAATATTTGTATTGGCGTCATATCCAGCAATAATGAAGAACAGCATGAAAACGTTTTAAATGCCCTGCCGAGACGCGATTAAAAGTACGTGAAGACCCAAAGATGCGCAAAAAAGAAAGGGGCGCGAGCACAAAAGAATCATCGCTACTTTTAACTCAATTAAAAAAGATATTCCACTTCTTTAGTGAGACCAAACAACTGGCATCAAATAACCATGTTTTTCAAAAGCGTTCACTGAGTAAAACCCGTGCGACTCACTTCTGAACAGCCTGTCTATCGAATCTTATTAACATATTGGCACGCGCGCATTCCACCTCTGTTGACGTAGCGTCAGAAAAATCCCTGTCAAGACAAAAAGTTCAGGAGTTTGTAAACAAACGGTGCAGAAACCCTATATGACACTCGTTTAGTTGATGCAAACCCCGCACAGCCCTTATTTGTTTTGGAAACAGAAATGATTCCCATGAATTTACGTCAACCAGAAAACTCGTCTCATTTTGTTTTCGTTTTATTTCTCGTTTTCATCAGGCCTTAAATTTAAATTAGTGTTATGATGTCCAGCTGTCGTTTTTGATATGTTTTTCATAAAGTGTTCTCTTGCCTGTGTTGACCTTGACAGTCCTCTTGGCCCTACAGCTATATCAGTATCCTGTGTTATCAGCCAGAATTAGTCTGTTAGAACATTTTCCAGCCAAACAGAATGAATTTCAAATGTTCATGCCAAACCTTCCCATCAAAACTCAGAAGCAAAGAAAAACTTAAAATGACTTGTTGCTTTACCATCTTCTTGTTGATCAAACTTTGATCAAATGTATAAGAGTTCTAGTCGTTCTCTCAGGGCAGTCTTTGGGATAGATTGGGAAGCCTTATATGGCCACTGATATTTTCTTGCATCTGCCTCTTTAATTAATTAGTTAATTTATTTATTGCAAGATGCCAGCATAATCAGATGTAGCTGCTTGAGTTCATCAATTGGCAGACAATTATTTTGATGATACCATGCACACAACATGGAAAAGGACACTTCATTCTAGAAATGTATAGTTATACTAAAAAGAATTCCAAGAATCGATGACCTGACATTTCTAAAAACACATTTAATTATTAAATATTGACACAATATTTCTAAATTGAATGGGCATATTTCAGAAACAAAAACGTAATATCCATCCATGCATTCTCCAAACTGCTTGGTATATGCTCAGCTAGTGTCTCTGGGTGAAATTTAATTTGAATAGTCAAAGAAGTAGTTAACCCCCCCAAAATTTAAATTTGCTGAAAATGTATTCACTCTCAGGCCATCTAAGAACAGTGGGTGCGTTGAAGAGGCAGAAGCCTCTGCGATCATGTGATCTGGGCTTCCCGAGGGAGGTGGTGGCATAGTAACATTATTTAGTAAACTCTGCCATACATTCCTTGCGTTTATCCCAGAGACAGTAAACAGCCTCAGTGTTCAGATGAAAACTGTGAGCTGTGAATGAACAATGCCTGGCTCAGGGCCCCATACACTCTGATGGCTTACTGTGAATACCGCAACTGTAGGCCTGGACAATCATCTCCATCCACTCGGAAAGGTCTTTGACCTTCAAATCTATTCCTATGGTTTTATTCATTGAACTTTTTTGGGTGGACAAGTGGACATTTGGGGGAAAATGAATAAAACAGTTTCACAAAGTTTCATTGGTGTTACATAGTTTTTCATTTAGTCCACTGTACCTCACAGTGACATCTAGATCTCATATTTCATATATAATCTTGTATAATATGGAAGATGAATTCAAGTTCTTCTAAATCATTTCCCGTTTTTTTTTCTCATCATGTGTCTGTGTTCACATTACGGTTTAAAACAATGTTGCAAAGCATAAATGCATCTCTACACATGGCACTCAAAAGCACATCTTCTAAATGTAATGGGGAAATTTTAGGGCACTCAGTTTAATGAATTACTGCCACCTACACTCTTAAAACTAAAGGTGCTTCACGATGCCATAGAAGAACCTTTTTGTCTAAATGGTTCTATAAAGAACCTTTAACATCTGAAGAACCTTTCTGATTCACAAAAGGTTCTTTGTGGCGAAAGAAGGTTCTTCAGATTATAAAAAGGTAAGAAAAAGATGGTTCTTTAAAGAACTTTTGACTGAATGGTTCTTTGTGGAACCAAAAATGGTTCTTCTATGGCGTCGCTTGAAGAACCTTTTGAAGCACCTTTATTTTTAAGAGTGTAGTGGAAGAATAAAACGACTACATACTTGACTGAATAGTTCTCTTGTATTTGTTCTTCAGCTAACATATGTTTTGAGGGCATTACACTGAAAAATGTAAGGCACTGTTTAAAATGACAAAGCTGGTAAATACACACACAGAATCACCTCAAATATACTATTTCCAAAAGTGTTACATTGTTTCTTACTAAAGGCATTTTATAAACAATTACCATTATACTCCAAAAGTAATGATTACCCCTGGGAGAACACTTCATGATCCGCTTCATCTGCAGAAAATAAAACTGTAACAAACCCAACCCACTGTCAGAATATTTACTGTTTTAACAACCTCATATATGGAGAAAAATGTTTTCTCTGTAATGGGACAGAAAGACACAGCACAGCTCTAGGGAGTCCACTTTGTTCTTCAGTTGTAGCTGCAGGCATGCAGTAGAAGGAACAGATGTGATGCTCCAGGGGAGGACAGAATGAAAGAGAAAGCAAGGTCTGAGCTATGTTTTTGTGTATATTGCACCATGTTTGTGCACATTTAAAGTCTGAGAGTGGTGTAGTTATTTGCCTGTGAATAGCTGATTTATGGGGGGAAATTGGTGTGTTCAAAGCATACCATGAATGTGTTTGTGAGTATTTGGAGATAATGTAATTCATAGCTCATAAAAGTAGACCAAAAAGCTATTGTTTGATTGATTTATTGATTGATTGCAATTTTTAAAGGGGCATTTCACTTCTTGGTTATAATATGATTCACACGATCAAGTTAGTGCATGTTAGATGACAGAACAGGGTCTTCTGAATCAGCCAAATCTCTTATATACCATTTACTGAAACCTTTCACCTAAATGTTAAACAAAAACATTTTAGTCCAAAAAGATCACAACAAATTGTGTGTATGAGCAAACATTTGACAATGTTTGAAGTGAGTAATACACACACATTTTCTGTTATGTATGTATTATTAGCCTATATTTTTTAAACATTAAACAGGCCTTTTTACATAATAATAGGCTGTGTGTTATTTTTAGCCTGTTTTTCATTTCTTCAGTAATTTTTTCAACTCGTTTTTTGTTTGTTTTGTTTTAGAATAATTTATTTTCTTATTTTTAATTACATTAAATGTTTAAAATAACACCTAATAATAAGAGTATTATTTATTTATGTATTTTATTATTATTATTATTTTTTTTTTTGTTTTTGTTTTTGTTTTTTTGTTTTGTTTTTTTTGCGTCCACATGTAGGATTACATTCATAGTCTCAAAGAGAATGGTCGCCCTCTAGTGAGACAAAGAAAGATCTTTCCAGGTCAAATGCGGTTTCCTCGCAATATCCTAGGGGCAGGGCAAATGACCAAATTCGCTTTTACCCTAAATTATAGCTGGAGTTAATGATAGGTTTGTTGCGGTCTCGCAGATAGCGCCTCCTCCATCCATGCTTCTGTCGAATGGCAGTCATCAGCGCTTAGAATTTGCATTGACTGACGTCTGGTTAGTAAAGGGCGGAGTCCGGAGCGATGACACATCAGAAGGCAACAGAGACCGCCATGTCTGCCTCTTTATAGGTGCGAAGAGAGAGAGCGACGCGATTCCGCAGCCTCGTTCTGCTAAAAGCATCTCTTCATTGTGCTGTGGAGCGGACAGTTCACTGTTTACTGCCACTGACTAAAAACATGAGAATTGCAATGCTAGTGTCTCCAATTAGGCCGACCGGACCGATTACTGTGGAAATCTCTCTGGGATTCACTCTGAGTCTCCTGAGCGTCACTTGGGTGGACCTGCGACTCTGACTGGATAGGAGCCGCCGATGAGATGCTCATAGGGCATCCCGGGAGCTCGATAGAATATTGCCTTATAACAAGCCTGCCCAGGAAGGTCCTCCAAAGAAAGTTTTCAGGTAGGTGTAGAATGGAGCTCCACCAATGATTCTATACAGAGCGCATCCTGACTAAAGTCTCTTGGGTGTATTTAAAGCATAAAAGGTTGTGAGTAGTTTGCAACAAAAAAAAAACAACAACTAATGAGTCAACCACGTTTTAATAATAATAATAATAATGACGATGATGATGATAATGATAATAATAATAATAGGCCTAATAATAATAATAATAAAAACAACAGCATCTCAAGCAGATTTATTTCCTTTGTGTCTGTGGAGCTTTTCTGCAAGAGGTATGCTGCTGAACTAAAGTTACCTGGTTTGTCTTTTGTGCGCAAAAGTGGTTTAACTTTAGTAGGACACTTGCTAAAAGAGCAAATGACTCTGATTTTGCCCCTTGGCCTCTCGAAGCTGATGCGGTCATCAGGTCACCTAAAGCATGCTGTCAGTCACGGATCAGCGGTTTACTAATCTGAACCACAATGAGAGCCTCAACAAGTCAGCAGCGTCCTTAAAGACATGCATAAACAAAACATCCATCATGGGGTAATAGGGTAAATACATAGTGTAAGAATATAATAATGATAATACTAACTACTGATTGATTGTATTTAAAGTGGTGGCTAATAAAGTTTCCAGAGTCTTTGAGAGTTACTAAACAGTAACATTTTGTTTAATGGATTTTCCAGCCAATTTTAAGCATTACGCTTAGTTTGAGCATATAGTTTAAAAGAAAATGTCAGACACCAATAGATGTACAAATGAGAGCAAATATATCAAATAGGGTCTATCCTCTATCCCAGCATATTAGGAGAAAAGCAGGGGAAAACCTTGTAAGAATGGCTAGTCCATCACAGGGACATGGCATCTAAAGTTTGAGTGAATAGAACATAGGATGACGTCTGCAGTTTGAGAAGTCAGAAAGAAAAAGAAAAACTTTGTGTGGAATAAATACCCAACTGCCTGTCAACATTTTTGGCAATTTGTGAAAGATTTATCCTAAGACAATGAGGACAAAAATGTTTTAAATATAAAATACACATTATCAATTACTATAGTTTGTAACACATAATCTAAGCACATTTTTTAAATTAATATTTCAACACCAACCCTGTTGTTGTTGTTTTTGTGAAACACAAAAGGAATTTTGATGAATCTTTATGCAGCACTTTTCCAAAATTGGTGCATAGTGAATAAAGCTGTTCAAGTCACACAATAGCTTTTTGTAGGAACAAAGAAAATTAAATCATTACATCATTGACTAATAATCTTCCTCTTCGCTGAAGTTTTGAAATCCCGTTTGCATTCACATTCAGGGCCATGGATGCCAAAATATCTTTGTCGTTACTGAACATAACATGCCAATTCAAATGTGTGGAAAGAAGAATGAGATTTGAGAATGGGAGATAATGTTCTTTTAAATTTTGGCCAGACCTTTCTTTACACGAAACTACTATCATATGGTTTCAGAATTTGGTTTGTCCTATATCACTCTGAACTGTCATATAGAAAGAGCTGCATGAGAATTATTTTGGGTTTCATGGAAAAAAGACAGCAGACAAGTTTTAAATGACATGGGTAAATAATGACACAACTGCTGCCTATTTTGGACTTCTGTGTGTGGTATGTTATAAATGGTTGGGTTGGTTTATTTGACCAACTGGCACATCAAACCCAGCTGTCCTTGTGACTTCCTAATGTAACTGTGCTGTGATTTATATTTCTTTACTCTTCATGTTATTATTTATAATTCTTGTTATTATATATCCATAATCTTTCTCTCTTTAGAGCCAAGTATGCCAGCACAGAGCTTGGAATTCGTGAACGTCTCTTTGTCTCAGTATTTACCTCCAAAAACCACCATGAACACTTTAGCTGTGGCCATCAACCGGAACCTCAACCACCACCTGGATGGCCATCTCATCTTCTTTACAGGCACTCGCAATCACAAACTCCCTAATGGAATGTTTGTGGTAGCCCACGGTGACGAGCGTCCAGTTCCAAACATGTTCCAGTCTGTCCGACATCTTCTAGAACATCACATTGCCGATTATGATTGGTTCTACTTTGTCCAGGATGATACCTACACCCAGCCCGAAAGGCTGAAGACCTTAGTAAGCCACCTGAGCATGGACCTTCAGCTTTACATGGGCCAGCCCGGAGAGTTCATTGGAGGTGAAACCAAGGGGAGGTACTGTCACAGTGGACCGGGATTTCTACTATCCCGTGCACTACTTCTGAAGCTCTAGCCTTTCTTGGAGCAATGCAGGACTGACATCGTAAGCATCAGACCTGATGAGTGGCTCGGTCGCTGTATCATTGATTATGCTGGCATGAGCTGTGTGGAGAAATATGAGGTAAGAGGTAATGATTAACTGGGACTCGAATTTGGTTTATGACATCTATGCAATATTTTTATGAGCATTTAGAATTTAAAATTCTGTCATCATTGACTCACCCTCATGCTTCTGTGGAACACTAAGGCAGATATTTTGAAAAATATTTCAGCTGTCTTTCTCCATATTATGTCAGCGTGGTCCAGAAGTTTCATTTCTCAGAAGAAAGAAAGCCAAACAAGTTTGTAACAACATAAGGGTGAGTAAATGATGACAGAATTTTCATTTTTGGTTGAACTACCCCTTTAATATAATTATAAATATATATAATTTATTTAAAACAGTCATTTTAAATTGGAATAATATTTTTAAAATATTACTGTTTTATTGTATTTTTGATCAAATATATACAGGTTTGGTGAGCATAAGCATCTTTCAAAAACATAAAAAAAAATCTTACCGGCCCCAAACTTTTGAATGGTAGTGTAGATACTCTGAACCACATGTCTCACAAAATACATCTGTAACCCATTGGCAGAAGATTCATGTTACAGGGACACAAAAATAGGACAGTGTAGGACAATTTTTGATTAGCTATTTCTATAAATATTAATTTTTATTTCAGGAAAACGTCTCAGGTTACGTATGTAACCATGGTTCCCTGAGATGGGAATGAGACACTGCATCCTCTAGAAGTCGCTATGGGGAACGCCTTCAGCGTGACTGGTGTCTGAAGCATACATCTAAACACGACAATGATATTGGCCGGCGACAGCCTATGACGTCATTACCCTGCGTGATCACAGTATAGAAGGGCGCTGGGATAACACGTCATCCACTTCTTCGTCTGAAGCTTGCGTCCGAAGCATGGCAAGGAAACTAGAGGACGCAGTGTCTCGTTCCATTCTCAGGTAACCATGGTTACATACGTAACCTGAGACGTTCCCTTCCGAGGGAACTTCGAACTGCGTCCTCTAGAGGTCGCTATGGGGAACGGTATACCCACGCTGCCATGCTGAGGGGAGTGCATGCCAAAACTAAGGCGAGCACTAAGTACCAACTCAACCAAGTCAGCGGAGCTGCCCCTAGGACGGTTTGATGGCTGTCAGTGACATAACCCCCTACGGCCAAAGGCCTGAGCTGTGCACCAAAGAACTTACCTGTAAGGGCTGGCCTGTATAAAGCCCGAGCCCAGGGCAAAGCTCAAGGCTTGGAATTAAAAATAAAAAGGATTCCTTTAAGGGGATACGGCCAAGTACCAGGGCTAACATAACCCATATCCTGGCCTGTCACACAGGGACTACCTCCTGCTCTAAGAACAAGCTGCCCGAGGATCACAAGATACCCAGGGGACTTAGTAGCAACAGCCTGTCTACAAAAGCGTGTACACGGAGAGTGGGGCCCAAGGTAAAAACCGGGGCCAGAGCCAACTCAGAGAAAGGGGACGAGGCCAGCATCGCATCACCCTTACCATAAAGGGTTTTAAAAAAGGTGCACAAAGACTAGCGTGCACACCTACCATGAATATGGACTTAGAGAAGTGCAGAGAGAACTAGCTTGTGCACTTACCATAGATATGGATTTAGAAATACCGTAATGTACCAACAGGGATACATAGGTTGAGTGGAGCCCAAGGTGAAAACCGGGGCCTAGCCAACTCAGAGAAAGGAAACGAGGCTGACAGCCTCAGACGCTCAATTGGGAGTGGCGTGCTCAAAGGTAACCCTCTAAGTTGAGGGGAGCACTGCTAAACTCCCCAACAAAGAGAGCAGCCTAACAGGGAGGCAGAGAAAGGCCTAACAATCTGAGGCTGCTGCTTAATGGAGCTCCAAGGAGTGGAGGACCCGATAAGAGGAGACCTCAGAAGCTCAATTAGGAGTGGCGTGCTCAAAGGTAACCCTCTAAGGTGAGGGGAGCACTGCTAAACTCGACCCCTCGGGGCGAGACATGAGTAGCGCGTCCTGGCTGGGGCAGTTTCTTGAAGCAAACACCCAGCCAGGACATCAGGGAGCACATCACGAAGCATTAAGGCTCCGATATACTTCAAACTAAGTTCTTTTTTCGTTCTGCGTTTGAGGGCAAAAAGAAGTTCGAAAAGGCTAAGCGACGGTATACTGTTTTCGAACATTCCGACACCCGCCCGCGTGTACCCCCTAAACACAACAACGACGGCGGCTGTGAGAGAAGAACAGTTTCGTAAACATCTGGCAGTAGCATTGATCTATTCAATGGCAAAGAAAAAGAACAAGAACAAGCGACGTAGATGGTATGTGCGTCCACTTAACGAAAACAGAAAGAATGATGGCGAGTTTGCCCTTTTTATTCAGCAAATGCGGAGCACAGATGAGGAAGTGCATTTTTCATACTTCAGAATGTGCGCCGCACGGTTTGACGATCTCTTGAAAAGGGTATCGCCATATGTGAAACATGCAAAAACGCACAGGACACAGATTTCCACTACGGAGAGTCTGGCCTTGACACTCCGTGTACTAGCTTGTGGGGCCATGCAACAAAGTGTGGCTGAAACATTCAAGATTGGACCGTGCACAGCCCGCAAGATAGTCGCGGAGATGTGTTCTCCAGTCTGGCCTCCGTGGAATGAGAAACGAACCGGGGGACAAAAAAATAAAAATAAAAAATCGCACGTCAAAGAAGGTGGAGTTCCAGAACACAACCACCGAATGCGTAATCGCCACAGACCAATGGTAGATCAAAGGTGTTTAGGAGGCAAAACAAACTTTCGAACGAACAAAAAGTTTGCTTTGGTGAGCTGTTTCGAACTGCCAAAACGAACTCAAAACGAACTTTGTTTCGGCCTGATTTTGTTCGAAATGACGTCATTTCAGTTCGTTCTTCGATTTTGTTTGAAGTATATCGGGCCTTTTATACTCCGAAAAATGCTCACCCGAATGGAGGACCCGCGGGTCCTGAAGTTGCAGAGTTATACTGCGGACCTGATCGGCTAAAAGGGCTCTCGCAGAGGCCCCGCAACTCGGCTGCGTGGTCCAGAAAGCATGAAGCCAAAGATGCAGAGCTATCATCCAGCCTGGATCCAGTACCGACGGGTGAGCTACCATCACCATGATCGGTCAACAGCGAGAGGTTCTGACTTTAGCAGGGGAGGTGCTCGCAGAGGTCCTAACCTTAAAACACAGTCAGAAAACAGAAACAGGTCCAAGTAGCGCTGTGGAGAAACTAGTTAGTTAATTCACATAAACTAGCAATAGATAGATGAAATGGATCGTACTCACCAACCACGGCTCCCACGCATGACTCAAGCTCACGGGGCATCATCTGAAGGCGAAGCCCGAAGAGCCCTTCTGCTTAGTGGCATGGAGAGCAAGATCTGTAGTGTGACGAAACTCAGCCACCTCATCAGGGGATAGACCCTGGCCTATATCCAGGTCTTCCAGCAGATTAGCCTGATAAGTCTGAAGCACCGCCATGGTGTACAACGAGGCTGCAGCCTGAACTGCTGCCGCGTATGTCCTGCCATTCAAACGAGATGTATCCTGAAGGGGTTTGGACGGCAGGGAGGGAGCCTTAATAGAAGATGTCTCCTGCATAGAGTTTAGATAGCACAGGGGGCATCTTTTCATAACCATTCTCACGCATCCCCTCGATGTTGGCATAACTAGTATGCTGAAATCTGTAAATGCGGGATGAGAATGGATTTTTCCAAGCCTTCTCGATCTCCACATGAAGATCGGGAAGGAATGGAAGGCTCACCTGAGCTCAACATATGCAGAGATCCAAACTATACACTCCTATAAGAACAAAAGGAAATTACTGATAGGGACTATCAGTAATTTCCTATTACTGGGCAGACAATTCTCACCGTGACCACAACGCGCAGCATGCATTCAGCTCCCGCGGGAGCTAAACACGCCCCGGCCAAGCGCTAGATTACCTCGGAAATCAAGCGAGAACGGGAACCGCTGCCGCAAATTCGTTGCTATTCCCGCGAGAGGCGAACGCACTCATGCAAACGCCATCTACAAATTCGGGTAAATGGTGAAGTACTCACCTCCCCCTCAGTAGTCCTGTGAATGCATCACGATGAGCACAAGCCATCTCCTCATGAGATGAGCGCGTTCAATTCATGCTTATCCCTCACAAGAAACAAGCAATGAATGCAGAGCGCATCCAACTCCCTCGAGAGCTAAACGCGCTTGCTCTTCACTACACACACACAGAAAGCGAGCCGTGTAAACCTGCGTGTATCAGAGCAAAGCCTCTGCCGAGAGAACATGCACTCCTAGTCGTGCTTAACATAAACAAACGGTCAGTGAAGACGAAGAAGAGGATGACGTGTTATCCCAGCGCCCTTTTATACTGTGATCGCGCAGCGTAATGACGT